AAAAGAAAAAAAAAGGAAATAAGTAAATAAATAAATTTGGTTTCCTTGCCAGAGAAGAAACAGAAAATCCTTTTTGTGAGTTATAAAAACTTAGTACCATAACATTTTGAATCTGGATTTATTACTTTAAATCCCAGTCATGATACTGGGTCACTATTTGAATACAGGACTTTTTTTTTTTTTTAAATGCTTGAAATTGGACCTAAAAGAGCTATATGCTAAAACATAATCTGAGGTACAAACACCCTGCCCCGCTTAACCCCCCAACTAATCTGAAACAGGTCAGTTACATTTGAAAGCAAACAAAATGAATCAATGAAGAGCCTTCTCTTTACCTCCACTGTGCCTCGAGGAATCCGTGAGGACCACGCCCACGTTGTCCGCCACCTCTGAAACTACGGGGCGCTTAGGGATGCCCACGGGGGGAGAGGAGGCCTGGGTGTTTTTTGATGATGCTGTTTTCTCTAGAAAGGGTAAAAAACATATACTGTAACTTAAGCTTCTGTGTGTGTGTAAAGTAAGAAAAGATACTATGAAATGCAAGTATGAAACAGGTACAGAGATATGAGTATATGAACTTGTCTGTTACAGCGTCTAAATTTAAAACTTACATTGTAATTACTGAGCTAACCTGAGGAATTAACTTAAAAATTACTTTGTCTTTTTCTAGCACCTATGATTACAGTGTGTCTTTCTTCACCAGGCTAGCTTTCATTTATACACAGAAAAAAACAAGTGGAAAAAGCTAAATCACTAGAGCAGAAGTTTTCAAACTCTTTGTCCATTTGTCTTTTTACTGTACACATTGCTTAATTCTAAAACACAGAATTCATTATTAAAAAGCATCTGTGAAGTTTCTTCACGGGAAAACTGTCCTGCTACATTTTAAAATTTCAAGAGGCAAAAAGTGAAATTGGGTGATTATTTTAGAACCAAACTACATGCTTATTATTCAGTATTTGGAGGTCAGACTCCATAAACAATGAAGGACTCCTTATGGAAATTACCTCAAAGTACATTTCAAATAAGAAATATTCATCATTTTTCTGGCCAGACTCAGGAATGAGGTGAAATGGTCTTTTTCAAAAGCCAATAGACAATTTCTTCTCAGTCATCATACCTCTTTTTAATACTGAACCATATAAAATTCCTCTTCTATCCAATTCTCGTCTCTGCTCACTGAAGTCTTCTTGTTCATTTATGGCCAAGCTACAGTCTATCCTTACCCTACAGCCAGCTCGTCCCACTGAAACATACAGCAGACTGTCACAGCTCTCCTCAAAACCCTCCAATGCTCTCAGCTCACTTGGGGCTGATGTCAGTGTCTTCACAGGGTGGACAAGGTGCTGCGTGCTTTGGCCTCTCTGCTACCTCGTTAAACACTCCCCCTTATCCACTTACTTTGTTTCCATCACTGTGGCCCCAGTGCTCTAGGGTGCACTAAGTACACCCCACCGCAGGGCCTTTGCACTTGCTGTCCTCGCTGCTGGGATGTTCTTTCCCCAGATACCCACACGGCTTTCCACATACCTCCTTGAAGTTCTGCTTAAACTGAGCCAACTGCTGCCCATACACCTTCTATACCCATCCCCTAATTTGTCTCTCTTATTAACACCGAGCACCTCCTAATGTTCTTATAACTCTGGTATAAGTCTCTCCCAACTGGAATGTAAGCTCCATAAGGACAAGGAGTATTGTCTATTTTGTTTACTGCCAGGCACAGAGAAGGCATTGGGTAAATACCAGCTGAACTGAAATTCTGCCTTGAGCTGGTATTTATGTATATGTCTCACCTTTCTTAGCAAAGGAGAAGCCCCATAAATTGGCTCTTGTCGTGATCATTTTTGTTTTCCCTGCCTCCCCTATCCTAATGCCTTACCTTTCATAAGCGCTCAAAAACATCTGTGAAATAGTGTATGGAACAGAAGACAACCATCCAAATGTGGCCCCCAAAGGGCTTATAATAATAGACTTACTTAGTAAATGTATATGTAAGAATCCGTACTCCCCAAAAGGATACTTATTACTCAAGTGACACCAAGACAGCCAACTCCTTCCTCTTAAGGAGGGTCATACGCACCTTTGCTGGTTCGGAAGGTAAGCATGGCAGGTTGTCCTTCGCCAGCTGCACTCCTTGCCACCATCAAAACTTCATAGAGACTAGACGGCTCCAGTTCTGTTAAATGGAGCTCATTTTCACTTCCCGGGACTCGAACTGTATGCCAGCTTCCCACCACGCCAACACCATCTTCTAGCTGCTCAAGAGAAAACAAGGCCTTAAAAAAAAAGGATATAAAGGGGAGAAAATCCTTCTATTCAAACAGAATGCAAATTAGAAGTCATCCAATTCCAGATGCATTTTGGGAAGTGATTCACCATCAAAAGTGAAGGAGACACACTCTCTCTGCACATTAAGACACATAAGGAGACCTGGAGCAGGAACTCAGGAATTCTCCCTGTGAAAAGACTCTCAACTTATGGCCTCAAGCAAATTATTTGATTCCCCAGTTTGTTTCCTTTTCTTGTAATGGAAACAATACTCCATTCTTACTTGGCTGATGGGGGAGTTAAAGTATACAGTAACATGTATTAATGACAATATATAATATATAATATGATAAATCAAAGTATCTGCTATGTATGTTTATGTGTGTATAAATGTTGTAACTATGCATGATATATTTCCAGCACTCTTCATGTCTTGACGCTGTTCAATATGAGTTGGAGGAAATAAATTAAAAAGAGATCCAGTCTGTTGTGTCTTGGTTAATGGAACCAAGAGACAACATTATGTGGAAGTTTCCATGTGGACAGAACACCAGAATCATCATGTCACCTAGAATCATCAGGTTACAGAGAATGAACTGTCAAATATCACCATGTTAATTTTTGCAAATATTAAAAATATTACTATTAAATGGTGGACACCAAAGTGTCTTGGAGAAAGAAAATTATTTTAAATATGAGTGCATCTTCTCTCATTTCATTTATTAGTCTCATTAAACAAAGGCAGGAGATTTTTTTCCACTTTGCTTTAATACAACCCTCTAGATGAAAAACATTGTCTGAAAAAAATCAACTGAGATGATCAAGGTTTACCATAATAAAGGACCAGACAATGTAAGATTTCAATACAGTTAAGAAGACAACTTGAAATGAAAACATTTTTCAGAGATTATAAAGGATGACTTTGTTCAAACAGTTGTTTCTAATAAGAAACTGCTCTTTTGCTAAGTAATCTGCATTCTGCTATCTCAGAATGGGAAGGACTTACTTTTAAAAAAGTGGTTTATAGAGCTTTACACCCGAGGGTTTCAAATGTTTGATTAAAAGTGTCAGAAAGTTACTGGGCTCTTAGAATCCCAGTTTAAGGGAAATTATTTATAATTCATTCTTACTGCTTTTATAAGCTTGGTAAATCCAGCATGATTGCTGGGGTCTCTCTCCCAAACTCACCATCCTGGGACACTCTTGTTCTCTTTCCAGGCACTCCACAAATGCAAGAGATAATAAGCATGTGTTGTACACACGATGTCAAAGTGTGAGAAGAAAAAGATGATAAATGAGAAGACATTACCTTTCGATACTTCACAAAATAGGCGTTGATGGGCAGCCCGCCATCCTTCCCCGCCCTCCAGACCAGGTTGTACGTATCTGGAGTGTGGGTCTGAGGGGGGCTCAGAATGATGGGGGCGTCGGGGACAGAGGTACCACTGGCATTTTTCTCTGATGATGATTCCACAGCACTGGAATGTTCCTTCACCAGAAATGAGCTCAATAATCCAGTTTCAGAACCATCACTTCTATCACTGTGAGTTGGATTGGAAGGGGTGACTACTTCAGCTTTTGGATTTGTTTTAAAAGGAACTGTGGAGAAAGGGAGGAAGAAAAAGAGAGGAGAGAGCTTGAAGAAGTTCATTCTTTCAGTATCTCCTATACAGTGGCCTAACTGCCCACGTTGATACTGTCAGCACAATTTGAGCCCTAGAAGTTAAAACTGGTAACATTTCAATTCATAATTCATGGAAACATCTAACCTCCAGTAGGAATCTCTTAGTCACGAAGGAGCAAATCAGCTATATGAAAAATCAGCTATGTGACACAGTAGTTTAGCAGCTTAAAGGACGCTGTTCCCCCTGCTCTGCACCAGCATTCCCTCTTTACAACAACAACTCACTAGTGTAACCTCAGAAGATTGTAAGTTGGAGAACGCGGAGCTTTAACTCTAGTTGGTAAATGAAACATAATGAGTAATGCCTTCCTTTGGAAACAAAGTGAAATAAATAGTAAAGAAAAGGTCATGAGTTAGGCTACCAGCTCTTGGGTAGCTAGCCTCCAAAGACACCTCAGGAGTCACACCCTTGGGCAGTCCCCTCCCACGCTGAATCCGGGGGCTAGCCCTGTGACTCACTTTAGCCAATGGAGACGCCGGGCTCTTCCAGGTTCAAACCTTAAGAAGGCCTGGTGCTCCTGCTTTAGTGTTGCCACCTAAGAGACCCCAAGCAGGGCTGGCAGAGTGGCCTGGCTGCAGCCCACAGCATCTGTAAGGAAATACAGGAGCTGATGCTTCAAGTTGTTAATCTTTGAGGGTAGCTCTGCAGTAGGTAAGTAGGTGACTACAACACCTACCCTCCACATGGAAGACACACCATAGTCAAGAAGAGGGAAGAAATGAAGCAAGACTAGCAAAGAAAAAGGAAGAAGTTACTTATTTCCAAACAAGCCCTCTTTCTGAATAGAGCTGAAGCTTGGCTTAAGAAATTGCCACTTGAAAAAAAAAAAAAGAAAGAAATTGCCACTTGAAAGAAGGACAAGACAATGTATGTACATGTATGACTGGGACATTGTGCTGTACCCGGAGACTGGTATGTCATAACTGACTGTACTTCAATAAAAACAAATAAAGATGACTGGATAAAGAAGCTGTTGTTTATTAATACCACTCAGCCATAAAAAAGAATAAAAGAATGCCATTTGCAGCAACATGGATGGACCTGGAGATTGTCATTCTAAGTGAAGAAAGTCAGAAAGAGAAAGAAGAATACCATATGATGTCACTTATACGCGGAATTTAAAAAAGAAAAGACAAACGAACTTATTTACAAAACAGAAACAGACTCACAGCCATAGAAAACAAATTATGGTTACCAGTGGGGGGAAGGATAAACCGGAAGTTCAAGATTTGCAGATACTAACTACTAAATATAAAATAGATGAACAACAAGTTTATACTGTAGAGCACAGGGAACTATATTCAGTATCTTATAGTACCCTATAATGAAAAAGAATCTGAAAAGGAATATATCTGTGTGTATGTATGACTGAACTATTATGCTGTAAACCAGAAATTGACACAACATTGTAAACTGACTATACTTCAATAAAAAATAATAAGAACGAACGAACAAGCAGATGGCCTTTCTACTCACTACAAAGCACACAGAATATATAGAGGAAGGTAAAAATAATTTATTTGCACTGAAAAAATAAATAGGTCGCCTCTATCCAAAAAGAATTTCTGAGTATGTATTTTGTGCCAAGCATTGTGCCAGACATTTATCAAATGTCATCTCATTTCATTCGCAAAACAACCTTCTCAGGTAGATAGTAACACTCCCACATTACAGAGGAAGAAATCCGGGTTCTGAGAGATTAAGTGACAACAGCTGGCAGAAGAATGATAGTGGCGCGGCTGCGAAAAAAACGAGAGAGCAACTTATGAAAACAAACACCCTGCCGGCACAATAAAACCCGAGGACTGACAGCCTGGTTTCTCCGAAGCGCTACTAACGCTGGCAACGCCAAGCCTCCTGTTTCTGACTACTTTCGTGGAGGAAGGGAGCAGAGGAAACAAAGGGTGAGTCTCTTTTCCACAATGAGGTCAGATTCCTGGTAAAAGGTGGGAGTGTTTTTGGGAGAATGACTCCAGCTCAGTAGAGAACCAACAGAAAAACAGGACTAACAGGGGAAGGTCAGTTCTCTGTTTGTTTAAGAGAGAGAGAAGGTGTCCCAGAAGCATCCTCCGTCAAAGAAAACAAGACGCTAGTGGGAAAATAATAAAGAAGAAAACTAATTAGGTTCCCTGAGACAACTTCCAAATATTGCTCCTGGAACAGCCGTGTTTACCCAGTGAGTCAGAATGTGGGCTGGATGTGAAGGGTGTGACCGGGAGCCAGCGAATGCAGAGATGGACTCGAGCAAGTGGAGGTAATTAGCCGTGGCTTAGGGCAGCGGAGAAGGACCTTTTTATCGTGTTTCGTGGATCCTCTGGGCAGGTTACCACTGGGAAGTGGTATCTGGCTGTAGAAGAGTCTGAATACCACATGCCTCAGTTTATACAGAAGCATGAGAAAAATCTTACGCTACAGCCTGAGTCTGCTGCAGAAGTATCAGAATTCCACCTGTGTTATTCGGGTTGCAATGAGACGTTTCCACCACTTATATTAAAAAGGATTCAATTTCCCTCTACAATTCCCCATGATGTATAAAGTGAACACTCACAAGATACCAGATTATCAGTTACAAGGCCGTCACAGCCTTTTCCAAAGTTTCTTCACATCCAGGACCTTAATTTATTTTCAAAACAACTCTGTGAAATGGTCAGAACAGACATCTACCTTTTTTAAAGGTAGCATTTTTGCTTGCTTGCTTGCTTGTTTCATTGAAGCGTAGTTGATTTACAACGATGTGTTAGTTTCAGGTGTACAGCAAAGTGACTTGGTTATACATATATTTTCTTTTTCAGATTCTTTTCCACTATAGGTTATTACGAGATATTGAATATAGCTCCCTGTACTATTCAGTAGGTCCTTGTTGTTTGTCTATTTTATAGATATAGTGTATATCTGTTAATCCCAAACTCCTAATTTATCCCTCTGCCCCTGAGGTAGAATGTTTTTTGAACTGGATGAAACTCTGGCTTTCTAAGTACTTAACTAGGGCAATAGCCATGAATTAACGACTCTGTGTTGAGACCAATTAAACAGGGAACAGAACCAGATCTGCCAAAGTTGTTCCCACTGTGACCACTCAAACCAGCCACCCCACCCCCAAGCTATTTAGGACCCCAGGCCAACTCCCGTTATAGTTTCGAAGATTTTCGCTCTACAAATATTTGTACATCCAGGACCTCAAAAACCCAAGGTCTCTGGGAAAAAAAAAAAAAGGTGGAGGAGGGAGCAGTCTTGCTTACTCCCCCCTTCACAATAAACAAAGTAAAGGCTGTCAGTGTGCTAGAATTTAATAAGGCTCAGATTCCTATGGGAAGAAGTGGGTTGTTACGTGCTATTCTGAGCTTTAATAGACTCAGCTAGACTTTAATAATTATTATAGAGCATGTAAAAAAGGCAACAAAAGGACCACTCAGGTAGGATGCAGCTCATGGGGTTACTATACATTACAAAAATGGTATTTATCAAGACATAAAATCCTGGGGAGGAGCTTAAAGATCTAAAAAGATGTAACCTAAACAAGTTAGCTTAGGGCTTCAGATTTCTCATATTTAAAGTGAGGCAGTTGGACAACTAGATATTTCTCTCGTCCCTTCAGCTATGACTATGATGTCCAAGCCTCCCCCTACCCTCCATTTACATAAAATAATCACTTCAGCCAAATGCTACTCAAGCAGTGCCTGCATTACACCTGTCTTAGAGCTAACACTGTTGAGCAGAGCCATTCCTAGTTTTGCTCGGCAGAACAGATCAACACACGCGCGCACACACGTACATGTTATACATCCACAGAGGTGTATAAACGTATGCAACACTTAACTACCTTCTTTATTTGAGGATTCTTAAGGTCTACTAAAATTAGCAACTATTTCTTCCTTCCCTAAACACCACCACAAGGGACAATTATAGTTAAATAATAATTAGATAGTAATAATTAGAACCTAATACTTGGTATTTACTGAAGGCTTTCTACTACCAGACCCCATTCTAAGCACTTTACAGGTATTAACTCTTTGAATTCTCACATCAGCCCTATGAGGAGGGTGCCTTCACTAATGCTCACTGACAGAAGGCTTGAATTCAAATTAAGTCAAATTTGAATTAATCTGAGTAATATTGATATTCTAATACCAGTACTTCAAATTAAGTCATCACCACCTAAAATCAGTAAAATATAAAGAATATTATACATTCCATTAGAAAAATAAGTTTGAATAAGATTAAGGCAAATATACAGATGGGTACTGTTTGACAGTACGGTGACGCTCTATTCCCAGTGACAGCCAGCCTTTCAGACTCTGAACGCTATACTTACCAAGCGCCCACCTGAAAAATGTCTGCAATGTCATTTTCAGGAGTTTAGAAAACCAAAAGCATTCATGTCCCAAAGAGGTCAGACTTTGGGCTTTCTCCCAAATGACAGCTCTCTGCAGGGCAACTACAAGCTTAACACACATATCAGAAGCGGAGACCAAGATTCGTCGGGTGCACGTTAAGGCCAAAAAAGGCAGTCCTACACTTCACTGCTGTTGGTAAGAACGTATATATTTAGAGACTGCTGGATTCATTAAGATATACTTCAAATCACTTTGTCCCCTACTATCAAAGGAAACCATCAACCCGAGAAGAACCTCTAATGGAAACTCACCGACTGTGAGGATGGCTTCCGCCTGGGCGGTGCCATGTTCATTTGCAGCTTCGCAGGTGTACTTCCCGGCCTGTTCCCGAGTCATAGCCTGAATGTAGAGAGAGCTTGAGCCCTGCAGGGATGTGATGAAGTAGACAGGCTCCAGATCAGAACCCCCAGGTCTTAATAAGTGGGATTTTCGGGATTCAGATCTAAGAACTTGAGACGGATGGCCGGTTAGCAATCCACGCCTGTCATACCAACGAATGACTGGAACTGGCAGTCCGCTGGCATTGCACGACAAAGTCACAGAGTCGCCATCGGCCACCTCTGCACTTGCTGGCACTGCAGTTATAACTGGCTTGAGTCCACTGTCTATTAAAAAAAGCAATTCACATACAAAAAATTAAGAACATTGTAGTACCTACAATGCAAAATAACTTCATCCAGTGGCATAAGGGTTCTCAATGTCGTGCACAAGCAGCTCTCTTAGAAACATCTTTTTTTGGTTTTGTTTTTTGTTTGTCTGTCTGTCTGTTTTTGGCGGGGAGGTAACGAGATTCATTTCATTTATTTATTTTAACAGAGGTAATGGGGATTGAACCCAGGACCTCGTGCATGCTAAGCATGCTCTCTACCACTAGCTCCATCCTCCCCCCAGAAACACCTTTTATACGTGTGTTTCTAAACAGTGCTTTACACGCAGAGCAGTGTGGTGAACACGCCCATTCACTGAAATAACAATGTTCACAATGTTATGAGCAAGGAGTGATGCAGGACTAACAGTAATGATTAGAACAAATATATCTCCCTCCTTGTTAATTTGCTTCTCAACTTTCCCGAGTCAGTAAAAAAAAAAAAGGATTTTTCATAGTTGTGGGCTCCTGGACACTTCTGACCTAGGTTGCCTGCCCTTCAGAAAGAAAGGAATGTATACAAAGGAATGTACAGGGAGCTTTCCAATAGGTCTCCTCAGCACATCTGACCACTGTAAACACAGAACATGCAAAGCCAAAACCTCAGATTTTAACATGAGAAAGGTGTAAAGGAATATAAAACTAAATAGCAGTCCTTTAAAAAAACAGTCGATTCTGGCAGGGGGAGGGGAGGTGGTAAAATCTGATTATAAAAATATTGAGAGAAGAATCTGTTCTGAATTACAGTTGGTAAACATATTTCTGACCATACACATGAAAAAAGTTTTATTTCTAACTGAAAGTGGCACCAACTCCTTCCTTTTGGTCCCAGGAATTTGGCAGGGGTGGGGAGGGGGGGTATATTTTTAAGGGATCTCACAATAGGATACTGATTACAAATGACATCTTCTCTAGCATGCCTTTCTCCTTCTCCAGCTCTACTTCTTATGTTTGACAAAATCAACCAACACTTGGCAAAAATTCAGAAATCTGATAACCAGTCTAGTAAGTATAAAATGCTATCTCATGGGTCCTAACCTGCATTTCCCTCAGTACTCATGAGGCTGAACATCTTTTCATGTGTTTATATGCCACTCATTTTTCCTCTTCTGTGAAATGTCTTTTGTCCATTTGTCTGTTGGGTTACCTTTTTTGCAATGGTTCAGAGTTCTCTGTACACACTAGGCACTGTTCTTTCATTAGTTACATATGTTACTAGTACCTTCTCTCAGTTCATTGCTTTCCATTTCATTTTTAATGGCATCTTTTCACAACGAGGACAGTTTAACTTTAATGTAGTCATTCCAATCCTTTCTTAAAAGTTAGCCTAAAATATCTTGCTAAAAACGTTTACCGAGATCATATAGATATTCTCCTATATTTTCTACAAAAACGTTGCCATTTTGCCTTTCATAGACAGGTCTTTAATCCAATGGAAATGTGTCTTTGTGTACAATGTGAGTGAGAGATTTGATTTCTTCTTTTTCTCCATTTTGATAACCAAGTATTGCATATCAAAACTCAAAATGGATATCCTCCCCCTTGGTGATCGACAATGCCCCTTAGGTCCAGTCCTTTTGGGTAAATGTCTTCTTGGTGGTCTCAGATCTAATATTCGTCTGTTCCTGTACCAATGATACAACACTTCCTTAATTACTACACATTATCGGGTGTGCGCTAATATCTGGTAAAGCAAGTCTCCCACATTCTTGCTCTTTTTCTTTCAGAGTAACTGAGCTATCACTGGGCCTTTGATCATCCATATAAGTTTTAGGATCAGTCTGTCAAGGTCCTCAAAACACTGGTAGGATTTAATTGGAACTGCATAGATATACAGAAAGTTTCTGGAAAGACCTGAAAATTATATAATACTGAATTTTGATATCCTTGAACCGTTTCATCTTTCTATAAACCTGGGTCTTTTTTAATGTTGCTAATATAAAAAGGTGATTTAAGAAAATTATTTTTTTATTTATTGCAGGAGGAAGGTATTTAGGTTTATTTATTTAGTTAGTTTTTCGACGGAGGTGCTGGGCATTGAACATAGGACCTTGTGCATGCTAAGCATGTACTCTACCACTTGAGCTAAACCCTCTCCCCAAAAAGGTGACTTTTAAATTACACTTTCTGTCTGTTGCTGGTTATACTTGTTAATTTTACACAGCAACTCGACTGGGCTAAGGGATGCCCAGAAAACTGGGTGTGTCTGTGAGGGTGCTTCCAGAAAAAATTAGCATTTGAATTGGTAAACTGAGTACAGCAGATGGCCCCCTCCAGAGTGGGTGGGCACCATCCAATCTGCTGAGCGCCTCAAGAGAACACAAATGTAGAGGAAGAGTGAATCCTCTCTCTCTATGCCTGGGCCGAGCCATCCATTTCACGCCTAAGACAGCAGACATCAGTGCTCCAGGATCTCTGGCTCTCACACTTTGGTCGAGACTTCAGCAGTCAGCTCCCCTTCCCTGCAACTGATCTGCATCGTCGCTTTCCTCCAGCTCCAGTTTGCAGACAGCAGACTTGGCCTCCTGGCCTCCTATTATAGCAAGCGATCCACTTGCTATAATAAATCTCCTCTATGTATCCTATTGGCTCTGTTTCTCTGGAGAAGCCTGGCTAGTACACTGGTATACAGAACAGCAACTAATTCTTGCTTACTGGCCTTCATCCAGCCACCTTTGCTAAATGCTCTTATTATTTCTAATAATTTGCCAAAAAACTATTGAGGATTCTCTATGTAGACAATCATAGCAGCTGTAAATGAATAACAGTTGGGTTTCTTTCTTTCTTTCTTATCCTTACATCTTTTATTTCTTTTTCTTGTTATTCTGTGCTGGTTAGAATCTCCACTGTGATGACAACTGAGAGAGATTTTAAAGGGAATGCTTCTAACATTTCACCATTAAAAGTAATGTTTCCTGTAAGTTTTTGTTAGATAATCTTTATCGAGTTAAGAAAGCTCCCTTCTTAACAATATTCAATATCTTGTAATAGCCTATAATGAGAAAGAATATGAAAAAGAATATATATGCATAACTATGCTGTACACCAGAAATTTACTCCACATTGTAAACCGACTACACTTCAATTAAAAAAAAAGAAAGTTCCCTTCTATTTCTGTTTATCTAAGAGTGTCTAACGTGAATACTGGATTATGTCAAATATTTTTTCTGCTTCTATTGAGATAACCATATTGTTTTTCTCCTTTATTCAATAAATGGAATGAATGATACTTTATATTTTCTGATGTATTACTGGAATAACTCCTTAGTCAAACTTTATCTTTACTGACTCTATTTTATCTTAATTTTCTATCTAATTGATTTCTGCCTATATCTTTATTATCTGCTTTCTTTGTTTTCTTTAAGTCTATTCTCTTATTTTACTTTGTTCACTAATTTTCAGTTTTACTAGCTTTCTTTTATAAGCATTTAAGGCTATAAATTCTTTTTATGTTCCATCTTCTCATATCTCACACAATTTGATTTTGACATTCATTATCATGGAAAGCATTTTAAATTTCCCTTATGATTTTTTGACCCAGCTATGGAGAAGTATAATTTTAAATTTCTAAATACATGCCAATCAAAATTACTTTTTATTATTAACTTCTAAATTAATTGCATCAAGTTCAGAGAATTGGTCTGTATCATACTGATTCTTTGAAATTTGAAATATTTATAACTCATAAACAAAAGGTTAATTTCCTTAATAGATAAAGAACTTGTATGAATAAGAAAAAAAACCAACAACCTAATTTAAAATGGGTAGAAGACAATGAACAGGCAATACACAGGAAAGCAAATTCAAACAGCTCATAAACACACGATGAGATGCCCAACTTCACTCGTAATAATAAGAAAAGTACAGATCAAAAGGTGCGCTTTTTAAAAACCTATCAGATTGGCAAAGATTAAACAGAAATTTTGACAACTGTTTGGTGAGGATACGAGGAAACAGGCAGTTACACGCTGCTGGTGCGAGAATGAACTGGTTAACAATTCTGGAAAGCAATGGTATCTATCAAAATTACCAAGGCATATATGCTTTTATTCAGCAAGTGCACTTCTAGGAATTTATTTTACAGATATTCATACATGTAATAATGCAAATAATCTCATGTAATAATAATAATGTCACGCAAAATAATCTACATAGAAGGACATTCATTGTAGACTCCTTATAGCAGCAAAGGATAAGAACTAGCCATCAATGAGGTACTAGTCAAATCATCATAATATACAATGGAAGACTAAGCAGGCATTTTTAAAAAGAAGTGAAAATACTCTTTAATGTCCAAGATACATGTTAAGTGATATATGAAAAATTCAAGGTAATTTTAAAAGGCAAAATTCAAGGTAATTTACATGAATGCTACCACTACTTCTGTAAAAAAAAAAAATAAAATAAAATAAAAAAACCCAGATGTTATTAAATGCACACACACACTCACATGGTACATGCGACTGATTATGCACGTGCATACAAGGATATTCAAGAAACTGATAAAACTAGTTAGTTCAAAAGAGAAATCTGGCTGGCTGTGGGACAAGAGTGAGACTTTCACCATTTACCTTTAGAAATTAGACCTTTTTTAAACTACATGGTATCTGGTGAAAAATATGTTTAAAAAATTTTTAATGAGCGTGATTAAATAAGGCTGCTTCTTCATGGAAATGCCTGCCTGCAATTAGAAAGGAACATGGAAAGTGAACACAGTTCTGTTATGGTGACAGGATTACTTCCTTTTAATAAAAATGATTTAATTTTAACCACAACCAAAGCCCATCTTTAAAGTAAAATTTCCTATGATTACCTAACCTAAAAGCCTACCTTTTTCAACTTCAAGTCTCCCAGTAGACTGCATAAATCCAATCCCATTGTCTGCTACACACTGATACAGCCCGGAATCTTCCGTGGTAACATCACTGATTTTCAATCCATTTCCCGCAGTTCGATGCCGTGGGGACGGACGAAGGGGCTGTGCGTTGTGAAACCAGGTACGGTTGGGGGCTGGGTTCCCATGAACCTCACAGGTAAATTGCACCGTGGCACCCAGAGACACGGTCTGATCGCGCAGTCCTTTAGAAATTGAAGCATGTTCTGAAAACAAAACGTATCAATTAAATTCTAGCCCTCAAGATGTACTTTTTAAACTATTGCATGAGTCATATAAGACCTCCTGTCTACCGATAACTAGTTGAAACTAAATTGCATTGTTTACTCACACTCTCCCATCCGCGGTGGTCATCAAGAAAAAATCAGAAATGTATTAACTTTCCTCCAGTAGGGTAAACCGTATGTTACTAATACGTTATAGCCTCTTTGTATAGACCTCTCCACGCACTTAACTCCCAACACAACACAACAAATGCACACACATACACACAAGCATCGTTTCTAATCTCAGGCTTCCCTGAGCATTTGTTTCAGGTGATCTGTCTGAAATAAAGTAACCGTTTCCCTGGACTTCCCACTCAACAAGAGCCAAAACAGAAGAACGCTATTTGCAGGTTTCATTCTTTTGATGGTCAGTTCTGCTTTGAGGCCAGGTGTATGCTATGTAAACCAGGCAAAAATCTTCCTTTAGTATCTCCATCAAGTCACTTTTTACCCGGACAAAGTAAATCATGTATTGGCACTTGTAACACATGCCCAAATTAAGAGATTTTGCATATGAATCTAGCCCAGTGATCATGAAACTTTACAGCCCACTTGCCGTACACACATTAATTCCAGTGTAACCCACGTCAGGCCACTGTTGCGAATAAACAGGGGCAGAAGGTTTACAAAAATTATATTTACTATGAAACTACTTGCTACCTATGTTTTTTCTCATTTTCATGAAAAGCTGTTTTGATAAAAGAAAACATTTTCTGCTGTTACACATGATAGTGAGATAAGTAGCCGGAAGGGAAGAAAGGAACAGCTTTATCTAGAGAGTAACACAGAAACGTGGGGGGAAATAACACAAATTTCACAAGCCAGCTAAAAGCAGGTAAAAGCATTCCAAAGGGAAAAGGAAAAGAAACTGATTTCTTTCTGAGATGACGTTTTCTAGTTGGCACGCTCAGTTATCACTACTGGATACTGCACACTGACACAGCCCAGAATCTTCCATCCTGTAAATCCTGTCTCTCTCCTCGTCACTGAGAAAGAAGGACAAGGATCTGTACTGTGTAACCAGATGAGGGTGAGGTTCCCCAAAACATCTCAGCTGAAATGCTCTGTGTCCCCCAGAAGTACTGCGCAATTCAGCTGTCCTTTAGAAAAAATGAAGCTTGTTCTGGCTTCTGGGGCAGCTATTTCTAGATAGTCCCTGCTCCATTCACAAATAGATTTCCATTCAAACATGTTAGACCAGAAAAATAGCCAGGCTTGAAGAAGAATTAAACAAGTAACACCTTACCGAGTACGTTCACCATGTAGGTCACATGTTTGACCTCTCCAGACCTGTTTCCCACCACGCAGGAGTAGTTGCCGGAGTCCGCTGGGTCAATGCTGTCTGTGGCAAGATGAGCATACAGCCTTCTCCAGCTGCCTCCCAGCTCAGCATCCTGGCCGTCCTTCAGCCAGTGCACCTGAGAAGCTGGGACGCCGCTCACCACACACTCCAGGGTCACAGGGCTGTGAGACAGGACGGCTAATGCCTGTGAAAGGCTGGGGTGAAGGATGTGAAAGCTATCTGAAGAAGGGCCTGGAAAAAGAAGGGAGAACAAAAAAGAAAATCATTATTACTAAATATTCCCTTTCCAACATCTTCCTTAACAAAGCTGTAAAGTTTCCCATCTTCCCATTTACTCTTCTTTACACTACGAGATCCTAGCTGGTAACTAAACTCATTTTCAGTTGAGAATTAAAATGGAAAGACTTGGTGATCCCTTAGGGCTACTTCAAAATTAGCAGTTTGGAAATGTCAAATTCCCCATAAGGACAAGGACCCCGACTTCACTGCGCTTCTGACTTCTGCTGACACCTCAACTCAACCAGCATTAGTTAACAACAAGCTATGACTTATCACATCTGAAAGGGAACAGATGCATATTTTTTCACAATTCACAGTTAGCCATCAGTTTGATTACCCCTGATACAAAGTTCTATCTTCACTATATTTTCTTTTTATTTGAGCCAAGGGCAAAGTTCCCCACATGTATTCCACTCTGTCACCTTGACCAAAATTCTCTTCAAAAAGTCATTATATTTTTAAAACGTGTACAGTGTTATTCTATAATGCGTTTACGCCTATAATCTTTTATAAGACTTTCTCATGATAAGCAAGCAGGGTCTAAAAGAAAAATGAACTCTCATTTTCCAGCTTTTTATGAGGAGCGCGTCCAAGGACTCCTCTGAGTGACCGTTACTCCCCCAAATACTTACGACTCACAAGGAGCTTTTGGCCAATGGGTTCAACTTTTAACTCATGTGTGACAGGATTAAAAGCTGCACATTTATAGGACCCCTTGTCCTCTAGCGATACATTCAAAATCTGCAGATTTCCCGACGGCAGGATTAAGTAATTCTCTGAGGAAGGAAGGGCATGCAGTTAGGTCTTTCTCTTTATGAAGGACACCAGTTAAAATTAACAAAGGTTGATCATTAGGCTTTAAATTTAGGCGTGACGTGAGCAGCAAATTGGGGAAAATTCGTTAAATGAAAGAATAGGAAAGTCAAGGCAGGAAAAAAAGAAAAGTGAATGGCACTAGAAGAAAGAAGATCAAACCCATCAGAGCCTCTGACCACAGATCACTCACTGAGAACATCAAAACACAAGAGGCACATTTGGACCGAGACACACCGACCACAGCCACCATCCTGGGCAGATCTCTGCCTACAGCACTGATCACCCCGTATGCATTCACATCTTCATTCATTTCTTCTCAAGTATATGTCCTGAGAGACTATTTCCTGCCAATGCGGCCGGGGGAACGAGTGCTACAGTGATGAGGTAGCAGACAAAGAAAGCTCTGGACTCATGCAGCCGATGTTCCAGTGCAGGGATGGGGAGGCAGAGAAAGGGGAAAATGACAAGCAAGCAAATAAAAAGACAAAAATATACCGCGACGGAAAAAGCGAAGGTGAGTAAAGGGGACAGAAAGCAACACGGCTTATTATTTTAGATGGAGCCTGAGGGTGAGCTTCTCAAAGGAAATGGTTTCTGAGCAGATTCCTGAATGGGCTGAAGGCGTGAGCCCTGGGGGGCGGGACTCGGATCACTTCTACACTGATGTTCCCTTTCTATACTGAAACCACTTGTTCTCATCTCCCTCCACCTGAGTCCCGAGAGGAGAGATAATCCAGCTTATGCGTTTTTGTCCACAGTCCCCAGCACACGGAGCTTACTGACATTGTTCCGTGGGTGCCACGGGCTTTTCGTGAGCGGTCTCACCTGTAGAGTGCCTCAGCCACTTTCCCCGGATCTTGTAGCGCACCTCAGCTTTGGGGTTACTATCTGGTACCTTGCAGCCAATGAAACCAGTACTTTTTTCTTCGGCGGTAATAATGTGCTTTGTTGATGAACCGAAGTCACCAAGAACTGAAAAAAAAATTAAGTGCGTAAGTAGAGAGATAAATACATGCATGCAAATCTGAACTCTCTTTCCCAAAGGAAATTTAAAAACTAGAAACATCTGCAACATGGTGGTTGGTGGCAGCTCATCCCAGGTCCCAGAGGAGCAGGAACTTCTTATCTCAGAAGGTGGCTGGGTTAGAGGTGCACAGTTGGGGGCTGGGACTAAGCCATGGCACCCTTTTCCAGAGATCGATGCTTCCAGGAGACTACAAGACAAGCAAGCTGTTCTTAAAACATTAGGGAGAACTGTGAAGCATAATTTTCCCCGTTCTGTCAAGATAAATCCTCCTTAATCCAGTCTCTCATCAAAACTCACTTTCCCTATGCATCTTTATTCTGTTTGTAGCTACTTGCATTGCAATAAAATGGTTTATAAGAATGAACCTAGGACATCGGGGGGAAAAAAAGCAGTCCATCATTTGCATTATCTGAATACACTAACTCGGTCTCAATTTCTCTCAGTTTAAGTTTAGTATGGATGGAGCTTGCATGGAAGAGCTTTTTATTACCTCCAATGCTGAGAGTATTCTGCAGCCTGCCCCCAGGAATTCAGCCCTCCCGTGCGTGTCTTGGAGCTGTCCATGGGTCACAGCTCTACAAAAACATTTACTCTTCTCAGTTATGACAAACTCACTACTCCTGGGGAATCCAGATTTGTTCTGTAAATAGGGGTGCCCTCACAAAGACGTTTTCCGTGACTGGAAGCCATCACCGTTTGAAAGGCAGATGGCTCAGACTTACTAAGAAAACCACGCACTCCAGATTTTCCGTAAGTTTAATATTCACTATTCCTTTCTTTACAGTCAGTTTTCCCACTTCTTTAGCCTGGTTTCAATTAAATAAATGAAAATCACTCTGAAAACCACTATCAGTCCTTGGCGTGATTTTTCCAGGGACTGCATGAAATAACTGCGTCAAAGCAAACAACAGCTTTTGTGCTGTTGGTATTAAGGACTTTGAAATACTCACAGAGAAATTCAGATGCATGTTAGGAAATTGTCCTAATTCATTTCCATCCTCCTTGTTACAGATGAAGACACTCGGCTAGGCTCACAGACGGTCAAGTACATGTATTTCCCCAGGTGAAGCGCACAGTAAGCGTCAAGGGATGAGAACTCATATGTGTCTGACTCCAACGCCCATGCTCATCCCATTACTCAAAAAATGCAAGTATTAACAGTAATCTCAGGAAAAAGCATCTATAACAGGAACAAAACTAGACTCACCTGCAATGGATACGGTCGCAGGACCGCTCACAACTGCACCGACGCTGTTGTTGGCAATGCACTGGTAATCACCCGAAAGGGAGGGGTTAAGAGAAAGAATAGTCAGCGTGCCCCGATGAACCTTAATCTGGTCCTTGTTTCTGCCCAATCTTTTTCCATTATGCAACCATGAGATATGCGCGGTCACAGGTTTAGCAGAACAGTGCAGCACTACAGGTCCACCAAGTTTCTGGACAGCAGACAATGGCTCAGAAGTAAAAAAAGGTGCCAAGTCTACAAGAGAACATTCCCCGTGTGCAAAGGGGTGCGGGGAGTGGGAGAGAAGAGGAGATCAGGGGAGAGAGAAAGAAGAGTACATTAAATACACTTCATCCGAATCAATACAGCTCAAGGCAATCCCTTATTTTTATCTGTATGCTATGGCCTTTAGAGCTTGTAAAAGTTCTAAGGCCATTCTTTCTTATGTTTTGAAAGAAAAAGGGCAACATACTGCCATAGGACTTCACAGTTTGGGCAGAATAGGTAAGAATCCTTATGCTATAAATCAAACAAAACACTAACTCTATAAATGAGAAACGGCAAACTGCTTTTTTAATGAAGGCGTTTTTAAGAAATGGAAGTTAATGGGGGGAGGGTACAGCTCAGTGGTAGAGCACATGCTTAGCATGCACGAGGTCCTGGGTTCAATCTCCAATACCTCCATCAAAAAAATAATAATTAAAAAAAAATTTTTTTAAGAAATGGAAGAATCTGAAAAAGAGAAGATGACTTTTATTAAATAAAAAGAATTATCTCCCATGTTAGCAATAGGAATTGACTTTAGGGGCAAATTATTTTTATAGATAAAGGCTATGGTACTTCTTGACTACTTCCTTTTAATATAAAATAATGTTCAACTTGTAAGAAAACAGAAGCAGAAAGTCAAGAAGCCAAACTGAAATACAAAGTCTATTTTTTTTTGGATATAAGGATAAACAGGGTATCAATCTCAATATTTTTATTTAGTGTTCAGAATAGTTTCATCTTTTACGTCTGTTCCTCCAGGAACTTGGTGGGGAGGAGTTTCCACACTCAAGTATCAAAATAAATTCCTCTCCCCCACCCAGAAGAGGGTGGGGGACAGGAATACTATTAATCTGGTGCAATAAAATACTTAAATTAAAAAAAAATCACAAATTGCTGAATCTACTCTTACAGGATATTTTACCAGAAATGAAGATCAAGGGAAAAGCCTTCACTGAATCTGAGGTTGTTGTTGAGCAAAAGAAAGACAGAAACAAAATTGCTAAATCAATTTTCTCTTCCTAAATTCAATATAGTTATACGGTATTTTTAACAGATATAGAATTAAATAAATATTACTGAATAAATAAACATGACTGTATTTGTATATACTTCTATATAAATCTTCACGAAAATCTGAAATAAAAAGAAATGCATGTCGGCCCCGTATTAGGCTCGGGCTTATATACACATTTAACAATGAACACATTTAAGCTTCTCAGAAACGCAGTTAGACAAGAAATTAGGCAAGGTCACAAGGGACCTGGGATTTGAACCAAGTTCTCTCTCTCCAAGTTGAGTACTGTTACACACTGACTCTAAAATTTCTAGTTGGTGGTGTGTAGTCAGCATTTTATTCCTATTACAATTTCCAAATTCAGAAATTTGTAACATATCCTCATTGAAAAAAAGCATGATCAGAAAATATTTATTTTTAAAGCAACAAAAGGAATAAATTACAAGGACAGTGATGGGAAAGCCCTAGGTGCCAGAAGCACTACCAGGAGGTCCCGAAATTGCTTAATTAATCAAATTTTTAAAATCATTCCACTAGTCAAACCTTAGGAATGCCTTTAGAAGCCATGACTACTGGCAAAGCATTAGAGTTGAAGCTGGCTTTTTGTAGGATTTAAGATGAGGAAAAGCTTCAGCCAAAAAAGACCATGTTCCCCTCTTACCTGAGCTCACAGAAGAGCACAGAATCGGAAGACTGACGTACAGCAGTGTCTGTAAGGGTCCCAGGTCTGGATGCATCGCGCCAGATTACAGAAGTGGGCAGGAAAGACTTCCAGAGCAAAATCCAGAACCGGGCTCACTAAAAGACATTCAAAAACAAAAATCAAAAAAAAAAAAAAAAAGAAGAAGAAGAAGAAGAAATTCTAAATAACAAAAACATCTGAAATCTTTTATCTGAACAGCCAGAGTTGTGACCACGATGCCTGCCATCTATTTGGAAAGCTCAGTATAGAGCGTGTCAAATACAAGGCATTTAATGATCCATAGCGTCTCAATTCACAAACTAATCTCTAGACATTAAATTAAAGGAGTTCTGCTCACTCCTCCAAGATACTAAGATACCTCCTGTTACACAGAACCTGTCACGCCACATGAATACATAACCACCTTGAGCGCATTTGTCGGTACCTCCCAAATATCCCAAACTCAGCACAATCAAAATGCATTACTCCTGCACGCTCCTTAAGAGAGAAACAATAACAAAAACAACAAAATGATAACTAACACTGAGATACTGCTTAGTATGGGCCAGACACCATCTCAGTGCTTTTTCTATATTAACCAAATCTTCACAACCACCGTACGAGCTGGGTACTTCTGGTTTCTCCCACCTTTTCAGATGGGGACTCAGGCTCATGGATTGTGCAGAGAAGACACACCAAGGGCAGGCCTGGGTGGGGTTGGGCTTGCCTGCAGAACATCCAAAGGCCACTGTGGTGAGAGTGGACTGAGCCAGGAAAAGAGCACAGGGAAGGCTGGGCTGGCTCCCATCCAGCTTCAAAAGCCGGGGTGAAGATGTGGGAATTTATTCTAACTGTGATGGCAGGTCCTTGCAGACTTGGGCGAAGGAGTGATGGGATCTCACTATGCTTTAGAAAGATCACCGGCTGGTGGAGACTAGACTGAAGCGGGGCAGGAAAGGAAGAGGGAGACCAAGGGGGAGGTGACATACTCGCTCAGGAGAGAGATGAGCACATGGGGGTTAGACCAGTGAGCTGACTGAGGAGGCGGTGAGGAGTGACTGGATTCAGAAGACATTCTACAGGTAAACCAGCAGAATTTGCTGAAGGCTTGTGTATGGAGTGTGAGATAAAGAGGATTACTCTTAGTTTTTGGCGTAACAGAGTAAATAAAAACTCTGTTTACTGAAACGGGGAAGAACTGGAGAGGGGAAGACAGGCTGAAGAGGAGGCTGTGCACCAGCTGCGTTTTGGCCAAGGTAAGCCTGAGACCTGTGAGGCCCCCAAGTACTGCTGTCAAGTCGACAGGTGCGTGGAGGAGCCTGCAGCTGTGGGGAGAAGTCAGAACCGACCAGGCGGATACCAGACCTCTGAAAGCCTTGGCACTAGACGAGCGTCACAGTTCTCCCAGAGGAGAGATACTCCAGCCCTTAGAGACTGAAGGGAGGAGAATGAAGCAGCAAGGGGACTAAGAAGAAGCAGTCAAAGAAACAGGAAGAAATCCAGGGGATCGTGGGGTCCAGGGAGAAAAATGGAAAATACTTCTAGGAGAGAGTCATCAACCATCTCAAACACTGCTGGGAACTAGAATGAAATGAGACACCATTAGAAAGGCGTAATGGAGACCTCGGGTGATGTGTAACAAGATTGGTTTCAATGGAGAAGGGACAAAAATTTGATGGGTCTGGGACAGAATGGGAAGGGAAGAAACAGAGAAACAGGCACAGAAAACTCCTTCAAGGATTTGCCATCACAGGGCGGCAAAAAACAAGGAGAATTGCTGGAGACGGATGGATGGCAGTCGTGGAAAGGTTTGTCTTTGTGTTTTTTAATATAGTGATAATACAGCACATTTACAGAGCTGAAAAAATTTCACAAAACCCAGCACTGGTAAGGATGTGGGTATAAATCACTATGATTGATTGCTGGTGGAAATACAATCAGTAAATTCCTTTTGGAAGGAAAATTATTCATTCATGCAACAAGTAGTTATTGAATGCTTATTATATGCTAGGGACTATTTTAGGAGCTGGGGGTAGAGCAACTTAAAATATATATAAATAAGAATAAGTAACAGACAAAAAGGTATACCTCACATT